ACTTGACTTACTAATCATTTACTTCTCAAACCACAGAATCCATAATGTAATACTAATAGTATCCCTGCTTTACCCCAAATCACACAGTGAGTCACCAGCAGAACCTAGCACTGAACCTAGGCAGCATGTCAAAACATGCTCTTTTAACTGTTATTCTCGATGGCCTTTTCTGAGAAGGTGATGTTTCTCTCAAAGCCACCCAACACAGGGAGACTTCATTCTTGATAGGACTTTTATTATTAATCTGTTTATGAGAAGAAATAACTACAAGAAGTATTAGTAAAAGAGACACAAAATTAGCTTTTTATTAAGTCACCATGCACATACATAGAGGAACAAGAGGTGAACCCTCTTCAATAGATATACTATGCATATTACCTTTTAGATCTGCAGCCAGCTGCTAATATTTAAAGGGTGTTTTCTGGGGACAGACACTTTGCAGGGATTATCAGATTTGATCACAATAGTAAATGTATGAGGGCTAGTAGTAATATCATCCACACATGACACATGTGGAGACCAAGACTCAGGGAGTTTCAATAATTTACTCAACCCCATAGTGTTAGAAAATGATAAGGCAGGGATTTGAACCCAGGAAGCCTGCCTACAGTGCTCAGACTATTTGTCATTATGTCTCTTACCATAATATTCTGTCTCCCACTGATAACCTAGTCAGCAGGACTTGAACAGGAAAAAAGGAATTTTAGACTACATGAATATAATGATTTTAAGAATTTTGTCACTGGGGACAAAAATCAATTTTTAAATTTCCTCCTAGCTTTTTAATGTATTTTAACTTGAAGGTATGCAAAGAAAATTTTATAATGCTCAAAATATAAAATGGAAGCAGTATAAAATAATTGACTTTACTTAATTTAAGATTTAATATCATATATGCCTTTTACCTAATTTTACCTTCTCAATTTAATTGGTGAACAATCTTAAAACATGATTGTAGCATGAACTTTTGGGAAATCTAATCAAGGCCCTGTATTAGATTTGTTGGATTGGGATAAGTGCATGTTGTTATCTTACATTTTAAAATAACTAAAAGAGAAGACTTTGAATGTTCTCACTACACAGAAATGATAAATGAGTTGATGCACATACTAAATACCTTGATTTGATAATTTTATAACTTATACATGTATTAAAATATCACAGTGTACCCAAATTGTTATCTGTCAACTAAAAATGAAATAAAACTAAAAAAGGAAAATCAATACTTTTTGTTTAATGCTTGCAGATTAGCTTCTTCATCCTGGTGGATAATTACAGGACAGCTTTGTGCTCGTCACTAGAGAAGCTATTATTGTTATTATTTTTGCATTTTGCGTTTGTTCATTAGCTTAGTTGTTTCACTAACCAAGCTTGCTGGTGTGTAGCACATGCAAATAAGATTTACAGTAGAAAGAACAGCTGTGTAAAATATTGCCTTTGGAAAGGGAAATTTATTGAGATAGTGATTATAGCACATGAAGCTCAAGGCAAAACCATAATGATTGCAGCACCGTTTCTCTCCCTCATGTAGTATTTTATATCTATTGCCCGTAGTGTACATTCATGGTAGCAAATGCTATTTCCCATCCTATAAAGCTGATTTTATTGCAACCTCCTGCTTTCAGTTACTGAAGACTTGCTGAAAATACTCCTGAGAAGGTAAAACTTTACTGTTTGGCTTCTTCCAAAAAAATATGGCTTGAGTGGAAAGAGTAGTATTTGAGTTCTAAAGATATGGCAATGCATAATCCGAGATATTAAAGATTTTATGATTTTAAATGTTAGATCATATAAATATTGCTTATGCACCTCTTGTATATCAGGATGGTCCAGTTGTTTATTGTTTAACAATGGATAAAGTATTATTTTTCCTCCCTCCCCACCAGTAGCATGCCAGAAGTTAAAAACAGGTCACTTGTACTTATTTAATAATCATCTAAATTATTAAAAAGTTGATATTTTAGGTGACAGTTGCTTTTTGCTATTGTTGCTTTTTATATATTTATTTATTTGAGAGGCAGAGGGAGAAAAAAAGAAAACTTCTATCTGCTGGTTCACGCCCCAAATGCCTACAATGTCCATGACTGACTGGGGCCAAATCTAGGAGCTGGAACTCGATTCAGGTCTCCCAAATGAGTGGTGGGAACCCAGTTACTTGAGCCACCATGGCTGCCTCTCAGAATCTGCATTAACAAGATGCCAGAGCCTGGAATCAAACCCAGGTATTCTGTTAGGGGATGCAAGCGTCTTAGTCCAGCATTTTATCCCTACGTTAACCAGCTTCCCCTCAGTGACAATTTGATTTTAAAATGCTAATTGGATCTTGTTTATTAGGTAATTCACATTGGTGATAATATAGCTATATCTAGAATCAATTCTGGTATAGATACTTTTAAATCTTAGAATAATTTAAATAAAATAACTGGTATGTGTTCTCTGCCTTGTTATAGACAAATTTTGTTTCATTTCAACATAAATTCATTACTTATAATCCCATTTTCACAGTTTAGAATACAATATTAATAATATTGTGATGTAGTGAATGACAGCACTTCCATTTTGTCTTCATACAAAAATTACTGAACAGTGACTCAGAATAAATGAAAAAAAGTAACCATATATTCTAAAGGATTTGTGTCCTTGCTCACATTTAACCCATGTAAGAGAAGCCTGGTTTAAGGAGATTTGGATTGCATATCAACAGACAGTTCTCATGATTGTCATGACCCTGTTTCCTAGAAAACATAGAGATAGAAACCTTTGGTTTTGCCATTTCATTTGGTGAAATTTCATTTGGTTTTGCCATTTCATACCTGGCGACTGGCAAGGAGTGTCCTGATACATGTTCATGCGTGTTCACTTTTTCTTCCAATTCTTTTTATTTATATAAGATGGACAAATTTCATAATACAGATTTAGAAGCACAGTGGTATTTGCCATCCAACCTCCTTCTTCCTTTCTGTTTCTTTAATTTTTACAATGAGGTACTTTCAGTTTATTTTATAACCAAAGCCTAACCTGCCACTAAGTAAAGAATTTCACTTTTACTTTATACTGCCTTGAAAAAGGCGAATCATTAGTTAACATTTGTTTAAATGCTTTCAGTGCAGTCCTCTCATTTAACTGAATGTTAGTGTGATATTTTCACTTTACTTTGTTATTCTTTTGTTAAAGGTTTATGCATTTAAAAACACCCACAATTCTGAACCTTTATTTTCATAGTCATTTAGTGTTGACAGTGATGTTTTCCTAAACATAATACTTGACCCTCACACTCCAACAGCAGCATTGTGAAATGAACAGAATTATTCCCATTTTACATATGAAAAGACCGAGGCCCCCAGTGTCCTGAGGATGATTTTCCCACTGGCCTAACTCCAGAACTCGCTATGCTGAACCGCAGTGTATACTCGGATCCAAATTTAGTAATTAAAACAACCAGATCTAAAACAGATTGCCCACTTTCATTTTGTATTAGAAATGTTTCATACCCTGCTCTTCATCTCATAAAGGGTGCTATGATATTTTTAGGATTAATTATCTTGGAATGTTGTATGAAACTTGGGTGTAAGGAAAGGTCATCTTAGTTAGGCTTAAATGCATGCTAACTTCCAAAAGCACTTTCCAAGTCATACCTAAATTTTGTTTATCTAGTAATTCATTTAGTTGATAGAAATGCAACATAAAAAGTGTGTTTATGATGTTCTGGAGGGTATTTAATGTATACTTGTATGTGCTTATATGTTTGCGTGTATATATTTGCTCATATTTCTTCTACAGATAAGGAGAACATTTTGTAATAGTTATGTAAGCCTCTCATAATTTGCAGGTTGAGCATCTTTTATCCAAAATGCTTGGGATTAGAAATGTACTGAATTTTGGATTTTTTAATTTTGAAATATTTGCATACATAAATTATATCAGGGATGGTACCCAATTATAAACATGAAATTCATTTATGTTTCATATATACCTTATACAAAAAAACCTAAATGTCATTTTATACAATATTTTTTGTGTGTCTATGTTTTGACAGTGAGCAGTCACATGAGGTCAGATGTGGGATTTCTATCTATGGCATCATGTTGGCACTAAAATACTTGATTTTGGAGGATTTCAGATTTCTAGACAGGGATATTTAACCAGTATTATGAATAGTGATGCCATCTTCAAAATGATCTGGAAAGAGAGTTTTAATATATAAATAGTTAGGGAAACCATTCTTCAATTCTATATGAATCCACAAAGTCAAATATTTCACTTGAAATGAAGATATAGGAATGCATCTGCCATAATGACCAATAGTTTTCTTGGAACCTGCACTTGAAATGGATCAAGAGGGCATACCTCCTGCTTTCATGATATCATTATGCCACATTCTTGCAGTTCAGTTCAACAATGTGGCTTGAATTGCCTGCACAGAATCTATGCTGAGACTAAATTATTTGTTCTCTCCCCTCTCCTACCTCTCTCCTCTTCTCTCTTCCCTGCCCCCACTCACTCTCTTTCCCTCTCTATGTCTTTTTCTAAATCAACATATTTATGTGTGTATCATACTCAATCACTCTATATATCTATGCCAGTAGGCATTAGATGATGGCTCAGCACTTGAGACCCCACCACCCATGTGGGGACCCAGATTGAATTCCAGGTTCCTGACTTCAACCTGGCCCAGTCCTGGATATTGGAGGCATGGAGTGAACCAGTAGATAGGAAATCTCTGTCTGTCTGTCAGTCGTTGCTTTTGTCCCTCTCTCTCTGTCTATGACAAATAATAAAAACAAAATAATAAAAAAATTAATAATGTAGTATGAAATGATAAAGAGAAAAAATATTCTTTATCAGTTGCAAAATCTGATTATGGTAGGCTTTTAAAATTTAGCAATATGTTTGACAGAGCAAACACTAACATTTGAGTTACCTATTCTAGCTGTGTTTAGTTTTAGGACTATATAAATCTAAGTTATGGAATGTTGATTTCATTTTCTTCTTCTTCATAGGTAACCCATTAGCCAAGGGTTAAATCAAGTGATCCTCAAGGCTGATGACATTGAACATATACATTGAAACTTAACTCCTGAGGTGATCTTGAAGGAAAATTTTTATACTTCTCAGAAGAGGCGCTCCAGAGCCTGTTACTTCCGCAGGATTTCATGTCTCGTGATCAGCCTGTGCTTGAAATCAAGACTTTATAAAAGCCTGACATGAACTTCTCTGTCGTGAAGATGTCATCACATTTGAACTGTGTTCCATTTGGAAACTTGCTGAAGGAGTTTGAAGCTGCCATCAGCAGAGCTGGGCAAGAGTTGGTGTTTTCAGGGTGACGTCAGAGACAGCAGCTACCTGTGGGATTCTTGTCTGCAGCTGTGACTCCTTTCCTCATTTCTGAAAGCGATCTCCAAGTGCACTGTCCCTCTGTCATGGATGTGTCCCTGGGTCCTCTGTTCTTTGGCTGGTGGGGCTGACCTTCACTTCACTGGCATTTCCTTTGCTAACTTCTCTGGCATGGTGTAGACTGAGACTGTTTAATTTGTATCCTAATCTTGGAGCTCTGAAAGCCTACATGTTTTAACATCTTAAAGTTGCTTTTCTTAAAGGAATGGAAATATATATCCATTGGTAATAATTATTGTTGGAAAGTAATAGTTATCCGAATACATCAATCATATAAGAATGTATAGACAAGTTGACATGTTTCCCCATGGCTAACACCTGACCACAGCTTTCTGTCAGTTAATAGGTAGTAGTTAGAATGGGATTACCATCGCCATTACACAATACTTTGTACCTCTAGAGCACTCTCCCTTTCTGTTTTGTTTCTTTTTTAAAGTGGACTTTTTCTTTCATTTTTTATGATTCCCCTTTTTCTTTCACAGAAATCAGCAGTGAGCAGTCACGTTATTCAGTAGCCTTCAGTTTCAAAAAATTGCCAGGGATGCATGTGGAGTTTCTGATTTCGTAGCCTGAAAACTACTCACTGAGATTTCTAATATTTTTTTAAACTTTCCTTTCTCTCTGTCTCATTTTTAAAATACTGTATATTGCTCGATCCCAATGACCGTTTGAATGCTTCAATATTTGTTTATTCAGTCCGTTGGTAGAATAAATTGTTCATTTTCCTTGGTCTAAAATTTATAAATATTGACTTAGAGTTGTTCCATTCAAAGAATTTCTTAGGCCAGTACTTTGTAAACATTTTCGTAGTCATTTTGACATTTGTGATTTTTGGTTCTACAGGAAAATCCTATATATATTTAAAGGCCTTAAACATGTATGTACTTTTTTTCCTAAGTTGTTACAGAATGTATAATTTTATACTACATTTATTTTCTTTCATTTGTGATGTGAAGGGAGGGAAAATGGAAACTGCATAGCTTTTCTGTAATAACATTGTATAGACATGCAGATAGTTTGAAGAGGAGGGGTTTCTGTGTTTTGCTTATTTTAGATTAATCAGAAGATGCTTCAGAAATTGCCCTTTTAGAAGCTTCATGATGTTAAGAGCAGGTTTGGAAATATTTTGTATTTAAAAATTCCCTGACATGGCCAAATAGGCCTAAATTGTTTTCCATGATGGAGAACACATATGTTAGATAGAGCATTGGTCCGTTTATAACAATTTTCAAAGACTAATAAAATACATCACTGATTCTTTTCTGTGAAGAGCAACTAAAAGGGTAAAATTTTTTAAAAATTAAATTTGGAAAGTATCCTTTTGACGTTAGACTGAAGTCGTCTGCCCACAAGTAAATGCAATGAAATGACTTCCTGTCTTTATTTTAATTATGCATAAAACTAATAGATGGTTCTGAGTAGAATTTGCAATGGCTTAAGAGTATCTGAAATCATAAAGAAAGGCATAACACTTGTGCTGGGGTTTCTGCATCAATTAGAATATTATTAATTTATTTGAAACAAGGTGGAAAAGTATATTACTTTGGAAATTATGAATTTGTCCTAGGTTTCTTTGAAATTATAGATCATGCTTCTCATTTTTAAAATTATGTCCTTTAAAGCAACACTGGAAATTCTGTATTATATACAAGTGTAATACATGCATATCGATAGAAAAAATAAATGGAATTTCAAGTATACTAACTAGATTATCCCTCAGTAGGTTAATGTTGTGACTATTCAGAAAAGGTGAATAAAATTGGGATATAAAATGGACTCTCTTTCATAAGTTACATTTTGAGAATTTGCTTTCTTGTGGTTTATTTTAAAATAGCATCATTTATTATCCAGGAAAACTTTTGAATTCGTAAGGAAGCTGACACAAATCCTTCAATCTTTTAATAAAGATCCATGGCAAACCTTACCATTTACCAAGGTTGTAATATTTGATTTGCTTTTTTTTTGGTAGAAAAGAATGAAATACATACATTTACACTTGTTTTATTTGCTCACATCTACGCTTTAAATGTAACTTGTATAACGTTGCTAGCTATATGCAAAACTAATTTTATTATGAAAATTACTAATGATAATGCATTGTTCATCTTATGAATGTTATAATGGGAATCACAAATTAACTATGATTTACTCTTTAAAACATTTAAAAAAAATTGCAATAGTTTAAGATCCAAAAGAAGCCACAAAAAATAGCACAGGAGATTTCTGTGTACCCATTTCCTATCTTCCTCCAGTAATAACATCTTATAAAACCATAGCACACTGTCAAATGGGGAAACTGACATTGGTACAATACTGTTAACACAAACTTTATTCAAGTTTCATCAGTTTTGTTGTGAATCATGGGTGAATATTCCTATTCTTTTTAGTTAAATTGGTATCAATCTGTTATCATATGTTGGAACATGTATTCGAGTATGAGAATACCCTGTGGACTAATGAATGAGTGTATCTGATAATTCTGTTGAAGTCATCTTTTTTTTTTTTTTTTAAGACTGATTTATTTATTTGAAAGTCAGAGTTACATGGAGAGAGAAGGAGAGGCTGAGAGAGAGAGAGAGAGAGGTCGGTTGGTCGGTTGGTCGGTCGGTCTTCCACCCTTTGGTTCACTCCCCAGATGGCCGCAATGCCTGGAGCTGCGCCATTCTGAAGCCAGGAGCAGGAGTTTCTTCCAGATCTCCCACATGGGGGTGGGAGCCCAAGGACTTGGGCCATCTTCTACTGCTTTCCCAGGCCATAGCAGAGAGCTGGATCAGAAGGGAAGCAGCCGGGACTAAAACCAGCGCCCATATGAGATGCTGGCACTGCAGACGGCAGCTTTACCCACTATGCCACAGCACTGGCCCGGTATAGCTGGGACTAGAACTAATGCCCATGTAGGATGTTGGCACTGCAGGAGGTGGTTTTGCCTGTACACCACTGTGCAGGCCCATTAGTCATCTGTTTTTGAAATAGCGTCCTGTACCTTTATTTTGCTTTATTTTTATGAAGTCTTTTTAAACTTTATACAATGGAAACTTACAGTTTTAACACCAGACAGTATTGTATATGCTTTTAAATTTGGTACTGTTTTTAATGGGTAGGAAGAGATCTAAGAATTTCATCTATGGCTGAGATGAAAAGGAGCTTGATGCTTATTGCCCTCCAAAAAATCCTCTGCTGTTATACAATGCTATCCAATTTGAATTGTAACTTTTGATAGTGCATAATAGTTTCTAACACAATAATTAATTGAGTGATTAAATGGGACTTGATATTTTTAAAGATTATTTTCTCAATTCATACATGATGCATTCATCTGTCAGAGAAGTATATACAAAAATGTTTGCAAGGTTTTTTTGTCATCACCCAGTCCTTTCTAATTTTGATACAATCTCTTAAATAGGGAGAATTAGGATAGCAGCAGATACTCTGTTTAGAGAAACTAAACAGTTGGAGGAGACTGTTACTGGATATCTCTTGCTCCACTTACCCTCCAAAGAGAACTCATGGTGTACATTACTATTTTTTAAAAGATTTTATTTGTTTATTTGAGAGGTAGAGTTACAGACAGAAGGAGGGACAGAGAGAAAGATCTCATTTGCCAAATGGCTGCAATGGCCAGAGATGGGCCTATCCGAAGTCAGGAGCCAGGAGCTTCTTCCAGGTCTACCATGCAGGTGCAGAGGCCCAAGCACCTGGGCCATCTTCTGTTGTTTTCCTGGGCCACGCCAGAGAGCTGGATCTGAAGAGGAGCAGCCGGGACTAGAAACGGCATCTATTTGGGATTCCAGTGCCACAGACAGAGGCTTAGCCCACTAGCCACAGTACCAGCCCTGGAACGTTACTATTTTTATCAAGGTAAAGGTTTTTTTTTTATTTAGAGTGCTTTGGGAAAAGAACATTGAAATTAATATATTTATAGATTGCTTGTAGATTTCTTCTTCATTGCTTTGACTTGCACTGTGTGAAACTGTGGAATGTGGTATAGACATTACACTTATCTGACGTTTAACTGAGAGTTACTGAATTCCTACTGGGCACAAGTATATTTGGCTAAATTGAATATGGGGGTTAACTGAAGCTTGCCTTTAAAAATAGCCTTTCAGATCAGTTCATCATTTTCTCAGTGCTCTGCGTGTATGTGACTCTATGGTAACCAAGTGAGTACAGAGAGGATTAAGTGTTTGATATTTCTTTGGATTTTTATGATGTGTTTTTTGTCATATTGCAAGTTACTAAATCCTATTTGTTAGGCAAAATGGTTGAATTTTATTCAATTATGGTAGCAGAATAGTGTGTATCTAAAACTGGGTTTTACATGTTTTAGCAAAGATGTCGTTGAAAGTCTTAGGAGAGACTGTGGTCATGAAGAGAAAACAGAAGGTATTAAAATAATCTAGGGGATTGCTACTGAGAGGTTGAGCTTGGGCTATTACACTGATGAAAATGAAAACAATGGAAGCTGATTGCAATTTAAATTACTTGAGGAGCCTTAAAAATTATACACAGCTCAGCCTGCTCTCTGAGATTTTCTTAATTGGTCTGGGATTATGTTTTGGGCATGGGTATTTCATGGAAGTCTTCCTAGTTGATTCTGAAATGCAGTCAAGGTTAAGAAACATTTGAGAAGGATTTTGCCAAGACAGAAATGATGAGATGCTGAAATGATCGTGCAAGTGAAAGGGAGCTAAGAAAGGGAATCCAAGAAGGTCCTGAGCCTTCTAAAATAAGATAAATGAGCTTAACATGAGAGAGAAACCTGGAGTAAAATCACGTTGAGAGGCAAGTGGAAAGAATGAGTTCATTTTTAAAGCATATTGAGTTTAAAGTTCCAAAGAAATATTCGGAAAGTTCATGTTAGATAAGAACTGATAGATTTTTAGTGGATTTGCAGTTAGAGACTGTTCTTTGTCCTGGAAAAAAACAGTTTCAGTGGAAATGTTTGTTTAGAATTGAGATTTTGGTGTAGTGGAATATGATTTAGAGGTTTGAAAGTGGAAATAGTGCATACGGACATCTGCTTCAATAGAGAGTGAAGAAGAAAAGTAGGCTAATGGTTATGAGGCAAGGCAGAATTGAATGGAGCATTTTTTTTAATATTGGTGAAACCAGAGTATGTTCATTTTTTCTGCAAGGAACAAAGCAAGGAGGATAGAAGGGATGATTTAGACCTTAAAATGAAAAAAAAAAAAACCTGATTGATTATGGAAGCAGTGTCTGAAGTTAGATGGGAAGAAATGCAAAATTTATGAGGAATAAGCAGAGCCAAATTCTTGAGAAAATCTAAAAGGATGAGCTTACTGAAGAGATGCTTGGTCTTTGATGACCTTTGCCTGATAGTGAGTCAAAGGGCACTCACTGGGGTAATGATTACCACATGGGTGACTGTGAGCTGCTGCCTGAGCTACTGAAAACTGTAGCAAAGGTATAGCTCCAAGATCAGAAACGAAGAGAAATTGTCACAATCCTTATTGGTCAATGGACATATTTTAATTATTTCACAGGTTTGTTGTGAAGATTCAATGGGTTAATAATTGTAAAAGAGTATGTAGTATATGGGAAGCACTTACTAAATACTGGGTCTTCCATTGTGAAAGCTGTTGCCATTATGTTCTTCAGTTGTGTAAAGATTATGTCAATAGAAAATTATGAATTCATATCATTTATGATATCAGAGTTTAGGGCTGGCTGAGTACATGTGCTAAAAAGGAGGATGTACAGGTGTTACATTTAAATAACTTTTTCTAGTATTGCATGGCTGTGAGAAAGGTAAAAGCAATCTTGTTGGAGGACTTAGTGATGTCATTTTTCTGAAATAAAAGACTTGAAAGGAATTGGCAGAGAAATAGAAATTGAAGGAAGAAATAGATCAACATCCTGGAAGAAGAAGAAATAGGTATTGGTGAGAAAAGGAAGTGGAAAGGTCAGTGGGAAAGAGGATTATACATTTCTTCTGTTTAAGGAGTAAATTAATAAAGGATGAAAGTAGTGAAAAACAAAACTCAAGAGCTGTGGTCTGAAAGAACAGTACCTTACGAAATGAGAGCCATCTGCTGAGCACACAAGGGATGGGCTTGTGTTTTGAAACTCCAAGGAGAAAAGAAAATATTTTAAGCAAATTTTGGTGTTCCTAAATACCAGCACTCAAAAGCCAATGAAGTTACAAGTTAGAGCATTTAATTGGTAGAGATGTGTCACTTTCCATCAGAGCTGTGTAATTGAGATAAGGAAGGGAAAAATGAATAGTTGGGCTCATCATTGAATGAGGATAGGCAAAATTAAAAAAAAAAAAAAGGCTACCATCTCTTGAGTACTCTTTGTGAGCTGTGAGTTCTTCCTAAGCATGGCACATGGATGATTCAATTTACTTCTAACTGAGATATGCATTGTTGTTATTAGCACTTTGTAATAAGAGCACTGGAGCACAGAAAGATGAAGTAATTTCGCCACTTTCACATTGCAGTAAGTGGCAGAGCCTCTTTCAACCTCTGTAGTGGTAAATCAAGGGTGTATCATGAGGCTATAGGATGATTTAGAGCAAGTCAAATAAAAGCGACTGATGGTTATGAACCTAAGGGAGGGTATGGGGCATAGAAATAGTTTTGAAAGTAGAGAACTGTTTTATTAAGGGGGAGGAGTAAGGAAGAGAAGGATGCATTAACGAATATTTTTGTGTTCCTACTATATGACAAGAACTGTGTTGGATGCAATGAATAAAATGTGAGTAGGAAGCTTTACCTTCTTTTCATATGATATCTCTTCCTGGAGGGGCACTAAGAGGAAATTTTGTCTGAAAGTAAAATGGGAAGAAAATTAAGATGGGGAAATGCAATGCTCCCAAAAGTGGCATTTTGTTTTGATGTGGGTAGATCAGACGAACCACAAGTTTCAGTAATGTCTGGGCATTTTACAGGACTTTAACAAGCAGTTT